TTACTTAACCTAAACAAGAGAAGAAAGAAACAAAGGCCAATTTTACTTAAACTAAGCAAGAAAACCAGAGGTTAATTTTACTTAACCTAAACAAGAGAAGAAAGAAACAAAGGCCAATTTTACTTAAACTAAGCAAGAAAACCAGAGGTTAATTTTACTTAACCTAAACAAGAGAAGAAAGAAACAAAGGCCAATTTTACTTAAATGAAGCAAGAAAACCAGAGGTTAATTTTACTTAACCTAAACAAGAGAAGAAAGAAACAAAGGCCAATTTTACTTAAACTAAGCAAGAAAACCAGAGGTTAATTTTACTTAACCTAAACTCACTGACATCACAAAAGTAACAAATGTTTTACATTAATAATGAAATTTACTAATCAAAAATGCATTTCATGAAAGTTTACCTGATATATATAATCAGTGTCAGTCTTCATCGAAGAATAGGAGAGCTGATGCGGCAAGCTGACACTGTCATCTTCTGCTACGTCATCTACCTGGGCCTTATAGGAGAACAGGATACTTGGCTGGGACATACTATAGAAAAAAAAGGACAAATGTCATTTAGGTTTTTGGATCTATTTAAGCTATTAGTAAGATAAGAACTTATAACTGATACCATCCAGAAGAACAATGCAAAGAGAGACTTTTATTCTAAGACTTAGATGATCACCAAGTTCATCGTCATCATGAAAAATTACAGCATCCTCTCTTACAGACAAGTTAAAACAACTCTGACAGAAGGTATCACAAGTCTTGTAAAACAGATGTACAACAATAGAACCGGTGCTGGTTCTTCCATGAATGTGCAAGAATTAAATGTGCCATAATTAAAACATACAAGTTTTATAAAATGAAACACTTAAATTAAATCAATAAATGTAAATTCCAGATATAAAATGTGGATACACACATTATTTACACATATTACGTAAACTTACACACACACACAGGTAAATGAATGTTACACTGGCATTTCAGTTGACATTATTAAAACTGTATGCAGTATATAAAAACCTTTATTTTCTAAAAAGTGGGTTCCTTGTTATCAAGTGTAAGTAAGATTCAGGGTTAGAGCCTTTCTGTGTTCCCTTGTGTGGTCTTGTAATGTATAACCAGTTTGAGACAGTTGCTGTATAGGATCTTATAGCCTATGTTGACTTCTTTTTGTTGATACAGTATTTTCTTTAAATCAAAATTCTCAAGTCACTTAAATAAGGGAACTTCCCAAATGTCTTAAAAATTAACCTCTGTAGTTGCTGGTTCAACAATTGGTCATTTTACTGGTTTTTTCTTTGGATGACCTGTTTCTTCAAGATGTACATTTAATTCTCACAAGTTTGTCAGATACCAACAATGGTTTCATTGTTCTACACAACTGTTTGCACATTAAGTGATATGTTAAAGTATCATTCTTTCTACTGATAAAGTATGGTAATCTTTACAGTCATTAAAACAAAGAAATAAAAGTTGTTCTTCATTACTGGTTGGTGTCAGTACTAAATAATTTTGCCAAGTTTTATTTATTTAGAAATTTTAATGTAATGTTATACAAAGATCCATTCGATATTTTTTTCAAGTGATAGAACAGAAAGAAGGCAGACAGCCTAAACACTCAACAGTACCCACTATCAACCCGTGAAGTACACCTGACTGACTGAATAATGGAATTTGATCATTTATTTGTACAGCATGCCCATTGCCTCAAGTGTGGAGCACATTTCTGCAGTGACGAGATGTGAACCATGAATCATTTTATGCTGTCCAGGAACACTAAGCCATGCCTGTCCACTTTTGTTAAGTATTATGTAAGTACATAAAAAACATCAAACAAAAGAACATCTTGTAATAAACTGTCCTTCACTTAAAACAACTTAGAGTAAAATTTTAATGATACATGAAATAAAAACGTTGATTCTAAATATTAACAAATGCCTGTTTGTAACAGATACTTAAGTTTAAAACATTTCATATAAAGTTTGAATACTTCTTTTGTTTAAAATCAAACTTACAATGAGAAAAAACTCAAGTTTAATCATTTACCTTTTAAATCCCATTCTTCATCATCACTACCACAGACATGCGTATATCAAATATTAAATGTTTATGGCAAAAATACTTAATTTGAATTGTAAATGTAGAAAATTGAAAACTATTCATTTACTGTATATATAAAAACACAGACTTCAGTGTGAATATTACCCTTTTAATTTGAAGTATGGTACTATTTCTGGGTGTAAATAAACAAGTTCCAGAATATAAATTTTTTAAATACCATTTTACATGTGCATATAGCACAATGGAAACTATGAAAAAATCCATGTCGATTTTGAACCAATTTTGTTATTTTTCCCTTTTTCTTACCCACATAAGCTAGTTCATCGTAAAAAAAATATACTAATTAAATGGTTATTAACATCTTTATACCACTGTCAATAACAAGAGTAACACAAAACTTTCCGAGGTAATACGGGTTTCACGTGAAACAATGCTTGTTGGTGTGTTTCAGGAAAGTTACACAGGGGCTGGCTATCTGTGCAGAGACATCCCTAATTCTCAACTGACAGACTACGGAAAGGCAGCTAGCTGACACAACTCACTGCAAACTCCTGAGCTAATATAATTTAATGATGGGTTTTGACTATCACACTTATAACACACTTTTGGAGAAACAGTGAGGAATACAATTTTGTACGTAAGCTACCAAACAACAACGTGTAACAGTTATCATACTATCTGATTTGAAGGTTTGTTTTAGCAATTCATCAATAATTGATAGTTCTGCTTCTATTTGCATCTTTTAGTTAATGAATTACCAAAACATCAAGTAATAACTATGTTACCAAACACATCGTTTCTATGGAAAAACATGCAAGAGGCTGCCACTAAAGACTGAAATTATTAATAATACTAAATTAAAGTTAGTTCTCCTTGAAAAACAAAGAAAATTAAAATTTTGGTTGATACGTACAATAAACAATTCATAAAGCAAATTTACAGAAATTAAGGTTTAATAAAAGTTATATCAACCTTATGGTAAGTCTCCAAAATAACACCTTATCTGTACTTTTTTTTAAATGTTTTAAAAACTTAACTTTTTATTAAATAAAAAATGACAAGTATTTCCTACAAGGTTAAAAAAAAGTTTACATACTACTATTTGTAGTGGTATTGGGGGATCATATAGAAATTTATCATATCAATACATGCCTTACTTCACATACAGTATTTTGTCTACTAATTCAAATGGATACTCACTTAAAAAATCCAGCCAGAAATGTCCAGTACACCAATGGAGTGAAGGCTGTAAAGTATACGTAGGTTGCAACATCCACCAAGCTAAAGTTAAAAAACTACTCAATGATAAACAAGTTTAAGTTACTTAAATAATAAATTCATTAACCAAAAAAAAACAACAATACACAAGAGGAAAAATAATCAAAAAGGTGTAAGTGTGTAGTAACAGCTAATCGCTTCAGGTGTGTAGTAACAACTAATCCCTTCAGGTGTGTAGTAACAACTAATCGCTTCAAGTGTGTAGTAACAACTAATCGCTTCAAGTGTGTAGTAACAGCTAATCGCTTCAAGTGTGTAGTAACAGCTAATCGCTTCAAGTGTGTAGTAACAGCTAATCGCTTCAAGTGTGTAGTAACAGCTAATCGCTTCAAGTGTGTAGTAACAGCTAATCGCTTCAAGTGTGTAGTAACAGCTAATCGCTTCAGATGTGTAGTAACAACTAATCACTTCAAGTGTGTAGTAACAACTAATCCCTTCAGGTGTGTAGTAACAACTAATCCCTTCAAGTGTGTAGTAACAGCTAATCGCTTCAAGTGTGTAGTAACAGCTAATCGCTTCAAGTGTGTAGTAACAGCTAATCCCTTCAAGTGTGTAGTAACAGCTAATCCCTT